AGGGGTGACCTTAGGTGACCATTGGCGTTCAAATGTAGGGTGCCACCAGCTCACATTCCTTTCGAGTATTAGATTAAAATCGACGGACTTTACTTCTCATAGATGTTTTCAACAATATCCGAATTATCAATACATTTCTCCGACAATTTTAGATTGTCGTTAGAATCATTTAGTGTTCGTTATCGCATAAAAATGGCTCAATTTCAGCAATAAGTGCTTAATATTGGCCTTTAAGGCGGCAACCGTTCGAGATTTGTCAACATAGACTTTGGATTTTAGAATGCCCAGAGAAAAAAATCCAGTGACGTTAGGTCGGCCAATTGTGGATTCTGAAGGACGATCGTTGACATCATAAATTGCACGGAGTGCACGAAACGTTTTCCGAATAGAACATTGGTTTTGATAATGATAATAATTTTTAACAATTCCGACGCGTTGCTCAATCGTGTAGCGCTCCATAATAAAATGCAGAGACTAATTGAATACGGCTGCCAAAGATAGCACCTGTGTGACTATCGAGTTTTTCATGGGCTATTGTCAAACATCGAGCGTTACTATTGGAAAACCCTATACATACCTAGATTCTTCTATTGGACCTAGAAAAAATATTAAACCACTTCCTTGCTTTGAAAAACAACCATCTACAGAGCAATATCTAATAGCACAGCTAATAGGCATATTGTCAGAGAATTGTCACATAAGTAACAAATTCACAGTCCTTCACAAAGATGCAACCGAGGAGAACATTGAAAATGCCGAAGCAAACTTCAACGCTAATGCTTGTGATTATTGTGAGCTTTGAGATCCGCTAAAATTCAACCCTTTCCAGATTTTCCAGAATTTTTCCGACCCAATCCAGAAATTTCCATGCGTTTTCCAGACGTTTCCAGAAATTTCCAGACTTTATCCAGATTTTTCCAGACTTAGCTAGACTTTATGCAGACTTGTCAAAATTTCTCCAGACCTTATCAAGCCTTTTCCAGAGGTTTCCAGACATTTCCAGACTTTCCCAGACTTTATCCAGACTTTTCTAGACTTGGCTGGATTTTTCCAGACTTTATCCAGACTTGTCTAGATTTCTCCAGACCTAATAGAGCCTTTTCCAGACGTTTCCAGAAATTTTCTGGCTTTTCCAGACTGTATCCAAACTTATCCAGACTTTTCCAGATTTAGCTAGACTTTATCCAGACTTGTCTAGATTTCTCCAGACCTTATCCAGCCCTTTTCTGACCTCTCCGGACTTCTCCCAAACACTTTCCCGACTTCAAATACACTTTTCCAGACTTTATCCAGACTTGTCTGAATTTCTCCAGACCTTATCAAGCCTTTTCCAGACGATACCAGAAATTTCCAGGCTTTTCCAGACTTTATCCAGACTTTTCTAGACTTGGCTAGATTTTTCCAGACTTTATCCAGACTTGTCTAGATTTCTCCAGACCTAATAGAGCCTTTTCCAGACGTTTCCAGAAATTTTCTGGCTCTTTTCCAGACTTTATCCAAACTTGTCTGAATGTCTCTAGACCTTATTAAGCCTTTTCCAGACGTTTCCAGAAATTTCCAGGCTTTTCCAGACTGTATCCAGATTTTTCTAGGCTTAGCTAGATTTTTCCAGACTTTATCCAGACTTGTCTAGATTTCTTCAGACCTAATAGAGCCTTTTCCAGACGTTTCTAGAAATTTTCTGGCTCTTTCCCAGACTTTATCCAAACTTATCCAGACTTTTCCAGACTTAGCAAGACTTTATCCAGACTTTATCCAGACTTATCTAGATTTCTCCAGACCTTATCCAGCCCTTTGACCTCTCCGGACTTCTCCCAAACACTTTCCCGACTTCAAATACACTTTTCCAGAACTTATCCAGACTTGTCTGAATTTCTCCAGACCTTATCCAGCCTTTTTCCGACGTTTCCAGAAATTTCCAGGCTTTTCCAGACTTTATCCAGACTTGGGTAGATTTTTCCAGACTTTATCCAGACTTGTCTAGATTTCTCCAGACCTAATAGAGCCTTTTCCAGACGTTTCCAGAAATTTTCTGGCTTTTCCAGACTTTATCCAAACTTATCCAAACTTTTCCAGACTTAGCTAAACTTTTTCCAGCCTTATCCAGACTTTATCCAGACTTGTCTAGATTTCTCCCGACCTTATCCAGCCCTTTCCTGACCTCTCCGGACTTCTTCCAAACACTTACCCGACTTCTATTATGTATAAGTAATTGCCTATCTATGAGTCGGCACTCAATGTATGCAAAAGCGGTAACAACCTTGAACTAACATAAACATATCGATTTTATATTCCGATTGCCTTATTTGCATAATTAAAGCGGTGACAACCTTGAACTAACATCTCGATTTTATAGTCAGATTGTACCCTCTGTATATCACGACCTTTCCGGATTCTGCGGATAATTCAAGACATATTTCATATGCAATGTCATGCCAGAAAAACCCTTAGGGCCAGTTTCTCAATAGCAAGTGACCCCCGGGTTAGGCATAACTCCAGGTTAAACATTGCAACTTCACACGCTCACCCTGGAGTTAAAACCAACCCGGAGGTGACTCGCTATTGATCAACCGGCCCTTAATGTTAAAGCTCAACTCACCTAATTAGAGGCCAGCACAACAAACCATACCGCAGGGATTGCAGGATCTTGAGTTGGCATACCTGGCAAACTATAAAGTGGTTCGGCCGTACCAAGGAATTTTGAAAATATACGATACGCGAAAAGCAGTAGAATAAAAACGTTTTGATGAAAGAATAGAAGAAATGAAGAAATCATTATGTCTACATAAAAAAAAGAAATGAAGACTTACTTACGTAGATATAGGTAGATATATTATTTTTTATTTTTATATGAATTAGAGTCAAATGTGTAAAATGTATTTTTTTACCTAATAGGAAAAAAATAACATTGACATCTAGAACCGGGCCCCTTGAGGTTGCGGGCCCGTGTTGCGTGGACCACGCGGAACACCGGTGACTACGCCCCTGATATACAGTGTGATTTTTCAAGTGTGCAACATATGGGGATTTTTTTTAGTAATAGCACAACCCAAATACAAACAAGCCCAAAAGTTGGTGCATGTCTGATAATTATATTAGAATGGTTCCAAGTCAAACAGCATACAGGGTAGCTCAAATAATATCAAAGCTGTACTGTAGAGTACCATTATTATAGCAAATTCAGCAAAATGTTATGGAGAAAAGTTGTTTGGAATTAAAAGTTATGTCTAAATACCAAAACATAGCCTCCTAAGATTTTTTTTATTTTCTTTCGAAAAAAATCTATAATTTCTATATTTTTTTTATTTTTTATTTCCGCCTTAATACTTTCAAAAATTAATTAAAATCAAATCAGTTTTACATAACTTTGTTCAAATTCAAGCATATTTGTAAAATTAACTTAGATTTTTAATTTTTTATGGAATCACAAAATTCATGTTTGTTGCAATGATATTCAACACAACTTTAAAATGTCGCAATTTTTTTTAAACAAGTTAAAACATTACTAATGATAATAGCCATATCAAAAAAACTCTCCTTAAAGTGCAAAAGTTTTATTTTATTTAGGTAAATATTAATGGAATTTTGGTATTTTTTGGGCCACCCTGTATGCTGTTTGACTTGCATCTAAGTGCACCTAATATGATTATCAGACATGCACCAACTTTTGGCCTTGTTTGTATTTTGATTGTGCTATTACTGAAAAAAAATCCCATATGTTGCACACTTAAGTAATGACACTGTATATACATTCAGGTATATTATGAGGAAAAAAATAGTCATTGACAACATTAACTCTCCTTGTTCGGTGACGTCATCCTAAATATAACATAAAAAACCTATATATAGATATACTGAGCATGTGTGACGTCATAAAGTATGAAAAATAATCTCATTTCAAAGTGTTGTATCTCCGTCAATTTTTGTTTAACAAGAAAAAGAAAAAACACGGGTTGATTTATTTTTCATCGACTAATGAAATCATCAATAAAAAAAGTTGAGTCAAGTTCCCCATTGCGTTTTTATTGAAAAAGGAGAAGACCACCAGCAAAATGTAAAAGTAACCATTCCTGTAAAAAATCCATATTTGTTCAAAATAAGATATTCAGAGGCTGGACTATGAGGAATAAACCTAAAAAACCTAGTATATTTGGAATCAGATTTAAAAGGGTAATCCAATAAGACAATAATATGCAAGGCTTTCCATTTAAAAAGTAGAACTTTGCTTCGCCACACTTTTGTGACACACCCTGTATACTTGTAACCAATCCCCCCCTCGTTTTTATTCTCATCGTTGACTTCACCGATGAATTAGCTACCTTTGTTTAGTGAAGGGAAAATGACAACGACTGCGATAGAATGGTGGCTCCATAGGTAAAATTTGATGAGAATAAAAACGCAGGGATCATTGAAAACTTTTTGATATTACCTACAGCTTTCACATTTGACATTTCTGGGTATCTCTTCAAACAGGTGAGATAGGTGTGGGTGCAAAATATAGACAATCACCTGATACAACTTTCATTTTGTACATTGAAAACTTTACAAGAATTGTAGAAATGTAACTTTATCTTTTGTAGTTCAAGTAAAATAAAATTATCAATTCGAATACAACACAGGAAAATGAACAAAGAAAATATTAAAACTTATATAGAGTATTGAGAAATTAAAGTAGCATTTTTCTTGGTCGTCTCAAAGTGGCTCATGAAAAAAATAAAATCGCATAATATAACAATAAACCCTAAATTGGTTCATTGAGGAAAAATGCAACTTTAATGAAAAATATATTGAGTCATCATCAATATATTTTCTATGCTTAAATTCAGGCTTGTGACATTTTAGTGTAAATTGATTGCTTAACTTATTATTCTAATTTTTGGTAGATTGACTTAATTAAATCTTATTAGAAGTGAGAACAAGGAAAAATATACTGGGTAAAATCAAATAAATACTATAAAGGATAAAAAGGTTAAATTAAAATACAAACAAACAAAGTTCAGTATTTTCCAAATTAGTTTTTAATACAATTCATACATTCTTCTTCCAGGTTCTTCTTCTGCCTTCCCAAGAGTCCTCTTTTTCCTTTTGATAATACGTAGAACACTAAAAAAAAACTAACATCCTAAAATTAAAACTTAAGCACACATTAAATGCACTTAACAAGTTATTTGTTCAACAAAAGTGAAAATTATACATAAAGTGACTGGTTTTAAAATTTTTTTGTTAATAACTTGATAACCAGAGTGCCTAGTTTAATTAATTATTCTTATAGCTAGCACAAAGTACATATATTTTTTTTATATGTAGATGTTTCGTCTAGAATACACTATTTTTAGACAAACATCCAATTAGCTTTAATGCCTCGAACGATGAGACTCCTCACGTCTGTCCCTATCTCTTTCCCGTTCCCTATCAGCATCCCTAGTACGTCCGGATTCCCTTTCTCTTTCGCCTCTGTCCCTATAAGAGCGTTCCTCGTAGTAACGCGACTTTGAAGGTGGCTGATCTGCAGCTGCCTCTGGCGCTTCCACTGGGGACTTGTTTCTTGGTCTTGATAATTTCGTCCTAAAGAAAATGGAAGTTGTTTTTTTTTTTTTTTAATTAATTTATGGATTTACAACTAAAAATTTAGTGCAAGATTTTTACAGAGAAACTTGACAAATTAAAAGTTTGAAACGAAAATAATTGAGTAGAAATCGATTTGCTTATAAGAAAAGATCAAACAACAATTTTCAACGGTTAAAAATACTTTAATATTTTGTGTTATAAGCTTGCATGATAATTTCTAGCAGTTTTTGTGTTTTTCCTCAGATTGTAATATTGATTAATATTACCTAAATAGTAGAAGTTACAAAGCGCCCTCATTATCATTATTTAATATTATAGTTATTTTTTAAACTAGGTTAATTCCTAAAATAAGAATATTTGTATAATTTCTTCAAAGGATTAAGTAATAAAACTCTTCAACAGCGAAAAAATATAATATATAAAAAATATACATTGAACAAATGACTTTCATACAAATACAGTACATTTCAGTCACAGCCATAGTAATCCATTTTTTAATGCAAAAGTACAGTCAATTCGGTATAAAAAGGAATGTTTCCTTGTTTGTATACAGGATTATAGGTGAATCCGAAGATTGGAAAGAAACCAATATTTAGAACAGTGCAAAATATTGGATTCTTTTCACCAGGGTTTTCGAATATACCTAACTAAATTTATTATTATGTGATATATTTTTCTACACGTCGTGTCCTAAAAAGTTATTAGGCAACTTTACTCATTTAGACACTTTTTAGATAACAGGTGATATTGGTAGATAAAATTCCAGCACCCATACACTTTCGTGAAAATTCTTTGTGTCTTTAAAATAAAGCTCATTATTGCACCACATATGAACAAGGATTGTTTTTTGTATCGTACATTATTCATACTTTTACCCATAGAATAAGCTTAGTACAATGTGTGATCTACAACTTTAGGAAATAACAATTTCTTACAATATTGCTGGATTTACATAAATTGGAGAGAATAAGCGCAGCTTATAGAAACCTCCAGTCATAAGTAACAACAAGAAGAAAAAAGAAACGTTATGTGCAACCTACTTTTTGGCCACCTTACTTGAACCCAATTATTATCTTACTCGCAAAAGATTCTAAGATAGAGTTCCACGGTTAATTTAAAATACAAAAAAAATATAGCGTAAAGCCTAATCTAAAATGATTTACTCCTGTAATACATAGCAACATCGCAAAATGTCTAATACTGTTTAAATCACAATTTTTTTCACAAACACAAGTGAGTTTTATCAACAAAAAAAAACAAAGTCACTTACTCTTCAGGTTCACGTTCCCTATAATCTCTCTCCCTTTCCCTTTCAACTCTTTCTCCACGGCTCCTAGAACGATCTCTTTCCCTTTCCCTATAATTATCTGAATAATAACGGTCTCTTTCACGTTCCCTTTCACGGTCCCTGTCACGTTCCCGTTCCCTGCTTCGTTCGCGATACCTATATATTTTCATATGGGTTAAAACATATAAATAAATTGATTACAAAAAATCTTACCTCGAAGAAGATCGGTCCCGTCTGCCCCTCCTATGCGCCCTGTCCCTGGACCTAGACCTATCGCGTCTAGATGAACTGTAGCTCTTATCCTCAACTCCTCTCAAAGTATCCTGAAGCGAACTGATCAAAATCTTACAACGATCATCGTTAGCAACTTTCGATTGCTTTATCAACGAAATTGCAGTAACCAAAGTTTCAATGGCGCTGGCATACTCCCCAGCTGCCGCGTCAGAAACTGCTCTTGCAATAGCCGAAGAAGAAACTGTACGGTTTCTTGACATGATGTCTTCAAACTCCTGAAATAAGTTTTTTTTAATAAAATATTATTTTAGATAAATCAAAGAAACAATACCTGTTCACTAATCGGTGGCATATCAGGCCTGTGATCTGGTGGCGGACCTCCATAAGGACCAGGCTGAGACATGTTAGAAGGCGGACCATAGCCATGAGGAGGACCATGAGAATGGGGTGGAGGTTGCTGATTGCCCATTGGAGGTCCGTGTGGAGGTCCATGGGGTGGCCCTTGTTGCATAACTAGAACAAAAGTTGTATTAAACTTCCAAGAAAATAAACTATTTAATTCAAAAGTGTATTTTCAAGCACAAACCGGTAAGGTAAGACCCATAAAAGTTATTCTCTGCAGCAGACACGAAACTCTAAAGCCTTAAGGAAGAAGAAAATCCTCTTGGACCTAGCTCAGATCCGAAATCAGAGCCACACATTATTAAAATTGTAAAACAGATATTAGACTCACACCTATATTGCTTCTAGAAGGACTTCTAAAATCAATCAACACTGTGATTCACAGAACGTATATAAATCCAAAATTTATATATACAGAAACTACCTGGAATCCTCACTACGGATATTCGGCTGAATTTAAACCAAATATTCGGCCAAATACCGGATAGTTATTAAAGCATGTCAGAGATATGATATTACAATTCGCGCGCGGAAATAAAAGAAATCGGTTATTACCTGCATTTGCTATTTCTACATCATAAACTACCACTTATTGACTTTCAATATTGATTATTCTACCCCTTACTGTTCTACTATACTAGTATTTTTTTATTATATTCTCTGTTAAGGAGTTTGTTTTTCCATTTCCTTTTATATCGACATCTATATCGACGGAAGAAATCAACAAAATTGTCGGTATTCGACGCAAGCAAAAAAACAAAGTCGATAAAAGGAATTTCAATGATAACATTCTACGAGAATTAGAAAAAAAATTAATGTACAAAACCAAACAAAGACAACTATGAACAATTGAGTGTAGGAAATAATATAACCTATAGTCAAATGTCCCAAAGAACAGCTCTAAACATAACGTAGAGAACATACCAAGCCTAATAATAAAAACAAAGAAACAGCAACACGTTGACAAGACAAAAACTGATATAAAGCACAACATTAGATTAGATATCTTAAATATTGGAGTGAAAAATACTTGTTCCTCAAAGAATGGCAGTGTTATCATTAAATGTGATAATAAGAAAGATACAGAAGTTTTACAAAGTAAAGCAGAAGCAGAAGATACGTTGGTGGATTACGAAGTACAGTTAACAAGAATGAAACTGCCTCGCTTTAAAATTGTAGGCTATGAGGGACAACTTGATGAGGGTGAAATTGCCAACTACATACGAAACCAAAATAAATGTATCAAAGAAGAAGATGAGCTCAAAATAACTTACATCAAGAAACTCAAGCATGAGAAGACTTCAACAATATATGGTGAATGTACCACCAATTTGTTCCATAAATTCATCATATCTCTGTGCCGCGATGCTTCAGATGTCAGGAGCATTTTCATAAGATTAGTGATTGCTCAAATAAGATCACACGTGAAATCTGTACCGACGAACACGACTCCAAGGAATGTCCAAAGATCAGGAAGGTTAATTGTATTACAACAAATTCTAAATACAATGTAAATTATAATATTGAACACACAGCAAATGACCCCCACTGCCCTACGCTCCAATATCTGTTACAGATTCAGAAAAGCAAAACAGACTATGGTGATGGCCTGTGAACAGCAAGAAACTAGTGTACTGAATGAACTGGACCGACTACAAACTGATATTCAAGAGGAGGCTATTGACTGTAATTTGCTTCATAATAGACTTTGCACCAAAAAATCAAGTATTTAACGTGTTGCACCTGAACATACGCATCATTCGCAAAAACTTCAATGAATTCTTGGCCTGGATTCAATCCTACAAACTTAATTTCTGCAACATTATTGTTTTGAGCGAATGCTGGCGTGTGAATGAAAAGTTTGACCTTCCAGGTTATGAAATGTATTACAATGGTGCTCGTGTGAATGAGAAGTTTGACCTTCCAGGCAGAGCTGCAAGCTCTCAGAAAACTTTTTATCAAATTTAATCAAAAATTGATATTATTCTGGAAAAAGGTACTTAAATTGAATTCTCGTTTTCTTGACTTAAGTCAAATTTTTTGATTTCAGTCAGCTCATCATAATTTAAATCAAAAATACTTATAGACTTAGGTCATTAAAATGACTTACTGAAGGATTTAAGTCATAAAACGACTTAAACCACATTATACTGGCTTAAGTCAAATGACTTGACTTGAGAGAAAATACTTCAAGTCAAAGACTTAAGACAAATAATTTGAACTTTATGTTAGAATTGACTAAAGATTTAAATCATTTTAATTTTAGAAATGACTTAAGACTTATGATTTAAGTCTTTTTAAAACTGACTTGTTGCAGCTCTGCTTCCAGGTTATGGAATGTTTTACAATCATGCTAACTTAAACAAAAACGATGGGGTAATAGTTTCTATTGAGGCAAATTCAAATGCAAATTTATCAAATACTACGTTAACTAAATCACGCGTAACCATTACAGAGATTGTTATTGAAATAGAAAAGATTAACTTCAAAATTACCTGTCTTTACAGACCTCCATCAACACAACCTCAGTGTTTTCTTGAGGACATTGAGGAGTATTTTCTTTTAAGTGCACCCGCACAAATTGACATAATTATAGTCGACATAATTATTAATATATGTGATCAGGACGATAACATAGCCAATTCCTATTTAACCACTTTGAGTCACTTTGGGATTCATACCGGCCATAACAGGTCCGACCCGAGTAACTCCAAACTCCAACTCTTGTTTAGCTCATTTTTTTGGTAAGAAGAAAACTAAACTTCAAATCACTGAAATATTCCGCTTTTGTTCTTGACTCAGCCATCACAGATCATTATCCTGTAATGCTCAACATCAGTAGAGATGATGATAACATTCATAACACCAGAAGAACTTGTTCCACAAAGGACTGATACTATACAATGATCTACCAAACCACGTGAAGAACTGTGAAAGTCGAAATTCATTTAAAAAGGACTCTTTTAGATATGTGAAAGAGAATATTGCACTATAATAAAAATTTTGTACTGTAACTCTAAATATTATACATGTTAGCTTCAAGCTATTAATAAATATTATTATTATTATTATTATTATAACTCTGACATTCCTCATCAACCTAAAGCTCCTGGCCAAATGATTTTTTATACTATCAAATTCTGAATGACCTTCTAGATAAACTGGGTCCGCTAATGCAGACGCCAATGATTCAGAAATTGCATTAGATACCTTCTATGATGTATTTCTTAATATTTTAAATAAATCGAAAATTGAGAAAAAAAATGTAACATAATAAAAAACCCTGGATAACGAATGATATTATAAGTTCAATCAAAAACAGAGATAAGATAAAAAAAAAAAATCTTGCACACTTTAATGAGATAGACAATCAAAATTATAAGGAATGACGAAATAACCTCAACACAATAATTAGCAAATGTAAACATGATTACTACAAAAAAGAAATAGAAAATAGTGGGAACAACATTAAAAAAATATATAAGCTCATCTCAGAAGCTACCAATGAAGGCAAACCTAATTCCAGTAATAAATTACAGATAAAGGATCATAATATTGCATTCTTGACCGACAAGGACATGACTATTTCTTTAACGTTGGTTTGGAAATGCTCAGTAATATTACACCGTCAGGAACAGCATCAAAAATTAACTTTAGCTTAAATTCATCTATATTTTCAAAACCGTGGTGAGTAAGAATGAAATAATAGAGCACATAAACTCTTTAAAAAATAATTGCGCCTCTGGTCCAGATGGTATAAGTACCATAACAATAAAACTGGCTCATCTGCATCTGATAATCCATATGATCTTAATCCATATGATAAATTTGATATTCAGTACAGGCTAGGTCCCTGGTAAGTTTAGGTGATAAATCGGATATTTCGAATTTTTGGCCAATAAGTGTTATAATAGTTATTTATGTATCAAGGGTACTAAGTAGATGATTATGCCCTGAGGGCGACAGCCTTACAAAGCCGAGTGCCTCTGGCCCGAGGGTTTATATATCTATCAGGGGGACTTTATTTGAAATCGATGCAACTTTGCGTACACGCAAACGACGTCATTTGCGGCGTCATTGTCAACCTGATGTTTAGAATGGTACATTATGCCCGCGCGGGCCAGAATGTGTACTTTATGCCCGCACAGGCATAAAGTGATGAATTATGTAGATGGTATCTAAGGTATAAAAAGACAATAATGTACTGGTATGACATAAATAATTTTATGTCATACCAATACATTATTGTGTTTTTATACCTTAGATACCATCCACATTATTCATTACTTTATGCCCGTGCGGGCATAAAGTACACATTATGGCCCGCGCGGGCATAAAGACGCAAAAAACAGTTTTCAATTAACTTATTTTTTGTTAACAAAATATAAATTTACGCTGATAAACATATTATTTTTGTCAAAAAATTATGATGTTTGCACACTGATGACAATTTGCGAAGTGACACTTTTTTCCCAGGTATTTATTATTCACAACCAACTGGTATGACATAATAGTAGATTATACCACGAGTCAATAATGATAGCTATTATTCCCGAGGATTATTACGAACTGAGCCGCGTTAGCGGCGAGGGAGTAACATTCCGAGGGAATAATAGCCATTATTGCGAGTAGTATACTCTACTTTATTTACGACAAATTAATTTATTTGAGATTTTCAATGAACAAATTTCATCCGTCTCATAATTTTCAATACAAATCCACAAGCACTACACGTTTGACACTGACACTTTTGTGGAATAATGACCATTAATCCCGCTACTCGTCATTAATCCCTGGAGGAATAACATATGTCATTATACTGCCAAAATCACAAATATAATACGCACATTATACATTAGTCGTAAATAAAAGTTTGTATGCACCACGGGTACTAATAGATATATATACCCTCGGGCGACTTACGAACCCTCGGGCCAGAGGCCCTCGGCTTTGTAAGACTGTCGCCCTCAGGGCATAATCATCTACTTAGTACCCTTGATACATAAATAACTATTATGTCATACTTTAGATACCATCTACATAATTCATTACTTTATTTACGACTAATGTATAATGTGCGTATTATATTTGTGATTTTGGCAGTATAATGACATATGTTATTCCTCCAGGGATTAATGACGAGTAGCGGGATTAATGGTCATTATTCCACAAAAGTGTCAGTGTCAAACGTGTAGTGCTTGTGGATTTGTATTGAAAATTATGAGACGGATGAAATTTGTTCATTGAAAATCTCAAATAAATTAATTTGTCGTAAATAAAGTAGAGTATACTACTCGCAATAATGGCTATTATTCCCTCGGAATGTTACTCCCTCGCCGCTAACGCGGCTCAGTTCGTAAGAATCCTCGGGAATAATAGCTATCATTATTGACTCGTGGTATAATCTACTATTATGCCCGTGCGGGCATAAAGTACAGTTGAAACTATCTAAAAATAGTATTGCTATGTCTATATCATACAGGATGTAAAAAAATTTAGCATTATTGTGTTAAAGCTAGTCCGTCCCTGGCTAACCAGATTGGCCAATTGTGTTTGAAAGGGTGCATTTTAAGGGGTCTCATCAAGTATCCATCATATTAAAAGAAAAACAAATTACACGAAGTATTTTGAAAGTTATCAACAAAAAAACGATTTTCAGAGGCGTCCTTTAGGGGCACGTAACTTCGTAGGGGGGGTCGTAGGATTTTATTTTATAAAATCTGTTTTTTTTTTAAAGATAAAAGTCAAAATGACATTATGTTGGCAATACAATGTAAAATTGTCAAGCTTTCAATTTTTTTATGTAGAAAAGGCTTGTGTTGCCAACATAGTTACTAAATTTTTGACTTGGGGAATTATCTTTAAAAAAAAACGACTTTAGGAAGTTGTCATGTTATTTTTTTGTATTCTATCTGAATCCCAGAGATTGCCCACATATTCGGGGACACCCTGTATATACCCTCGGGCGACTAACGAACCCTCGGGCCAGAGGCCCTTGGCTTTGTAAGACTGTCTCCCTCAGGGCATAATCATCTACTTAGTACCCTTGATACATAAATATTTCAAAAATTTTCGAAAAGTGTCTTAAAAACCGATTTGGTCAGCTTGCTTGAATCTAATGATATTTTTTCGAAGAGTCAGTTTGGCTTTAGAAACGGGCTTGGTACTGAACATGCCATATATGAATTAACAACCCAGATAACATGCCTCGATAAGAACAGGAAATGTCTCACTGTATTCCTAGACTTTGCAAAGGCATTCAATATGGTACCTCACCTACAGCTCTTGGATGTCCTAAATATCTACGGGGTTAGGGGGACCGTGTTGGATGTCTTTAAAGACTACCTGACAGACAGACAGCAGATGGTGAAAATAGGGGACAGCCGAAGTAATCCCAAACCGTTAAGATTGGCATCCCTCAGGGTACCACCCTGGGTCCAGTACTTTTCATTATGTATATAAATTCCTTAACAAACATTAATATAAAGGATGGATCCATCATTTCATATGCTGATGATACAGCAGTTGCATTTGTAGGAGACACCTGGACTCAAGTAAAGGAATTGGCGAAACATGGTATTTCAAAAATAAAAACATGGCTAGACTCTTTCAAACTAACATTAAATGCTTGTAAATCTAATTATATAGCCTTTTCCCTTACATCTTCCAATCGCCCTTCTTTTAAAGAGCTTGACATCATTAACGTAGACTCTCCATTGCTTGAAGTAGACTCAAGAAAATATCTTCGAATTACATGCCAGGATTAAGAGGGGGACTAACGGGGCTGCAGCCAGTCCAGTAGGGCCCCTCCGAGGGGCCCTACTTTTGAAGGTAAACTTAAGTTACCTACGAAAAATAGTTATTTATGCAACAAGTGTGTAAAGTGAACCCCGATTCACGAACGTGAATTTTGATGCACGAGCCAAAGGCGAGTACGACAATCACATGAGTGAAAAAAGGTGATTTACGCACGTAGTACCAATCAAATATGTGTAAAAAAATAAATTTAGACAAATTCTTTATGCGTGCGTGAAGTAATTTACAAGAAAATATTAATTTGACAGGTCGACATCTGTCATTGACATTACTTTACGCACTACTGTGTGAAGTGAACTACTTTACGCACTAGTGCGTGAAGAGAAATTTTACGTCTTCTGAATAGTGTAGCAGTAGAAAAAAGATATTTTGACATAATTTTGTAAAACATGCGTATCCTATTCACAATCCGTAGTCCAAAGATAGAGGTAAATGTATCACCTTTCCCTATCAAATAGCACTGAAAGGTGATAAACTTTACCTTTACCTTTGGACATCGGATTGTGAATAGATAATAGGTATAGCAGTGTCAGACTGTTATATCAGGAATATAGCTTTTCCTTTATATACAGGGTGTCCCACGCAGTTTTTCCCAAATGATAATTGACGTCACTTGACCGAAATTGAAGAGAAAGTGGTGAAATTGGATGACGATGGTAGGAGCGGCATAAAAAGTTACCCACATCCTCAAAATTTCAATTATATTGGATGATGCGTTCCGAAGTTATTACCTGGGAAAATCGTCGTGGGACACCCTGTATATTTTTTTGCACTTAATTCATGAAGGGCCCCCTAAAACTTCACTAGCCCCGGGCCCCATGGCCCCCATGAAAGCTTAATCCGACCATGTCGAGTTATCATTGATGAACACCTTAAATGGGGACCTCATGTATTGAAGTTAGCCTCAAACATAAGAAAGCTTATACATAAATTTTACATCCTCAGAGAAATAATGAAAAAAAAATTACTGATTTCAGTTTACAAAGTACTCGTTGAGCTGCTTATAAGATATGGTATTGTTGTGTAGGGGTGGAATGTATGAAAGCTCGTTACGATCCTGGAAGGTGACTCAAAATTTTATTTTAAAATAATTGATCTGTTATTTTGTAGAGAATACCATTTTACGTAAGTTTTGTTTTGGGTCGTTCGACATCAGATGCACTGAAAGCAAGATTTCCGCAAAAAACTGGTTTTCATGAGCTTTGGCTTTCAATATCTCAAGACGCACAAGTGTAGGCATATGAGATTTTTGTGTGCTTTATTGGAACATCAAAACAAAGGTATGTGCAAAAATTCAGCTTAATCGGCCTCATTCCGCAGGGAAAGTCTCATTTTCCTGGAGTAATAGAGAACAATGCAGGAAAAAGTGTACACTACCAGGTATGATGCCTATCCGATTTGCAAATAATGCAAATCAATTCAGTAAATTTTCCAATAGGCTCTGATGTTAAAAAACAAGGCTAATTATAAGTCCATATACATACCCATTGGGCCTGGTCCAGGTCCGCCCATTTGCATTGGCGGTGGTCCCCCAGTAGGTGGAAAGAAAGCAGGATTAACGTGGGGCGCAGGACCTTGTGGTGGTCCACCCTGAGGCACTCCAGGCGGTCCTTGCATTGGAGGCGGTAATCTTGGAGGTCCTTGCATTGGAGGCGGACCTTGCGGAAAGCCTTGTTGCATGGGCGGTCTGTTCCAATCAGGACGCATTCCTGGAGGACCTGGAGGCGGTCCTTGTTGTTGCATTCTTGGAGGCTGTCCTTGTGGTGGACCTTGAAACTACACCAAAAAAAATTACTTATTTATAACAAAGGTAATTTGTACTGAAGTAAAATTTGAGGCCTCAAAAATTAGCACAACGAAAATGGCACACATCAGAAAAGCTAGAGTATTAAATTCGGGCCATTTAGTGCTAATTTAGTACGAAAAAATTGCTGAATGTACTAAATTAGCATTGTAATGTAATATGAAGATTTTCAAAGATTCGACCTTATCCAACTACACCATTTCAACCTCAATTTCGGAAAAAGTAACTTTTATTTAGGAAAATGTAAACTCATTTTCGGAAAAAGTCAAATCAATTTCAGAAAAAGTAAAGTTAATTTCGGAAAAAGTGAATTCAAATTTGGAAAAAGTAAATTTATATTCGGAAAAAGTAAATTCAAATTTGAAAAAAGTGAATTCAAATTCGGATAAAAATACATTCAATTACAGAGAAAGTAATATTATTTTTGATAGAATAATTTGAATTGATTGAGTCTTTATCTATTTAGAAAATCAAAAAAGTTGTCTATATCATCAGACCTACAAAATAATATAGATTATTATTAAATAGGTACATGTATTATTGGTTCTACATATATTATTTTTTTTACTACTAACCTGAGAAATAGTCATTATTCAATCTATTTTTTTAGGAAAAAATTGAATTTCTCTCCCTAGGTTAATAATGAAAATAATGAAAAAATACCTAGGTCAATAATGAAAATGACGTCATGATGCAAGGATATTGTCATGTTTCTATTGGTCCAATTTCAATTTCATACGTCAATTCAAAAAAAATACAGGTTTCTGTAGGTACATATAGGAAGTTATTATAAGCTGTTGTTAGAGGGCAGCACTTTCAAAAGGGCGTTCAAAAAAATAATTAAGAGCACAGATTTTGAATATTTTTTTTATTTTCTACTAGTAGTAGTAAAAAAAATTCTATATATTCCTCGGTAGAGAAAGTCATTATATACCTTACACATTATAAACCTCGGCGCTCCGCGCCTCGGTTTATAAAAGCGCTCAGTATATAATGACCAACTTCTCTACCTAGGTATATAATATACTATTGTAGGTCTGATGATGCTCATATGAGCGAAACACATGTGACTATTAAGTGAATAAAAAAATAAACAATCTGTAGACTTGATAATTTTTTTCTTTCTTTTATTGTTCAAAAATCGGGTCTCTCTGAGAAATATGGAAAAACATTTTGATTTTTTAAATAGATAAATGACTCAATCAATTCAAATTAGTCTATAGAAAATAACATTACTTTCTCCGTAATTGAATGTATTTTTTCCGAATTTGAATTTACCGTCTCCAAAATTAAGTTAACTTTTTCCAAAATTAACTTTACTTTTTCTGAAATTGATTTGACTTTTTCCGAAAATGACTTTAAATTTTCCTAAATAAAAGTTACTTTTTCCGCAATTGAGGTTGAAATGCTGTAGACTTTGCCAGCTTAATTTTAGGCTGGCACACATACACGTAATTTTTTTTTAAATAGTTTTTTTTTCTTACTAAATTAGCACTAAAAAGGCCCGAATTTAGTACTCTAGTTTTTCTCATGTATGCTATTTTCGTATAGTGACAGTGTGACAGACTGAAAACTCTAAAGCTAACAACTCTCAGGGCCATATGCACCGCTATAACTTAAGGGATATTTAATCCAAGTGCAGCTTTGAATGTGACTCTCGTAGAAACAAAAGTCACATTCAAAAGCTCCACTTAAATTAAATATCCCTTAATATCCCTTAAGTGATAGCGGTGCAAATGGCCATGAGAGAAAGAAGAATGCAAGGTGATTTAATCAAAACTTATAAAATAACTAAAGACTATTCATGCTGTTAAACAAAGATTTTTCATTTCAAAAACTTTCCAAAAAGAAATCAGCGAAATTTCTTAGAAAATACTTTAACTCTTTGGAGGAGGATACAGTCGGTGCGTCTAGTGGGAATCAGTTCAAAAACAGACTTGATCAAGAGATGCAGGAATCCCCCTCAAGACTAGTCCATTATGAACCACAGAAATAGTTTTTTGAAAAAGCCTTCTCTTTTATAGTGCAATACGTCAAATATGTGTACTTAAGACAATTTGGCAATAGCCTCATCGGATTCTACCGACTGCTATTGGACAAAAATAATAAAAATAATAATAATATTAATAATAATAATAATAGATATCCAAAAATATTTACCATTCTTACCATTGGAGGTCTAGGTGGGCCTTGAGGTCCAGGTGGAGGCCGCATGGGACCCATATTGGGTCCAGGTCCATTAGGTCTTGGTGGTCCATTCCATTGGGGTTGACCTTGATGAAATCTGGGTGGTTGTTGTTGCATATTTGGTGGACCATTATAGCCAGGCGGACCTTGCATTCTAGGACCTCCTGAGGCAGAAAGGCAAATTCAAAATTAGTGTTTCAAAGTGTTAAATAAAAAAAATACTTACCAAATCTGGCATTGCCTTGCATTCCAGGCGGGCCCATTGGTGGTCCTCTCATGGGACCTTGATTCATTGGCATTCTATTGCCAAAGTTTTGCATGGGGCCTTGATTGGGTGCGCTCGGATGGGGTGGTCTTGAGTTTGTATTGTTTGCCGGCGTAGGACGAGTTTTGGATTGACTCTCAAAATTGGACAGTGCCAATTTTGTAGTGGGAGTAACATGTGGAGCCTGTCCGTTAAGTTCTTTTTTTCCTAGTAATTCCAAACATTTTCGCATGCTAGCTTCAGAACCCAGAGAAATAACACAAAACCCTTTTGATTGTCCGTTGGCCCTGTGTTCAAAAAATTTAACTTCGTGAAAGTCATTTATTCCGATGCTGCTAACTGCACTCGCAATGTCTTGATCTGTAGTCCACTAAAAGATAAACAATACCTATGTTATTAGAGCCCCCATCATCAACTTCATTATTTTAAATACAGCCCCTGGTTTGATTTGATAGCACCATATATGAGGTTAATATGCCAACTTAGCTAGTTTATAAACTAGCTGGATAGTTCACAAACTAACCAACCACTTGGCTATTTTGATAGAAAACGCAATTTTTACTAAAATAGCAGCTAGTTTGCAAACTAACCAAAAGTCTTGGCTAATTTACTTGAAATTATTGAGAAAACTAAATTAGCTGGTTAGTTTATTAACTATCCAATGCAGCCTGGCTAATTTGAAAACCATGATTTCTAGTAACACAAAATGGCCAAACCTTTGGCTAGTTTGTAAACTAACCAATCAATTTTCTGGCAAATTTACAAATAAAGTTTAGTTCATCGTATTTCTTATTCGATAAATTAGAGATGAATAAAATGAAAATTGTTGCTTTTTCCTATTTTACTTGGCAATTCTCACATCCATCCTGGAACAAAGTTACAATTTCTTGGGTAATATTTGAATATTTTTGATTTATTAGCTTTGTTGTTAGGTACTTGTCTTTCGCTGTGCGCGCAAATGATTGGCGAGATTCTTCAATAATATCAAACAAATCGTCCATACAGGCATACAAGCTAATATTTTGCCAGATTTCCTTCATTGTAAAGTTAGGAATTATTTGCTTTATTATTATACAGATCTATTAAAGAAGCCTCAAATTTTTTAACCTAACTTTGTTTGTAAATTAGCCAGAAAATTGGTTGGCTAGTATGCAGTGTGTATCAGCCAAATGGAATAAATTCGATAATAAATAAATGGGGCATTTTTCGAAAAAACGCTTGAACACATCAATTTTGTTTTTTTGCTTGAGATTTTTCCATATCAATTTTTTTATACAGGGTGTTCAGAACACAGTTGTACCATTATCAACTTTAGTTTTTTTAATGGTACCCCCTGTATATTATGACATTTCTGGATTTTACGGAAAATTCTAAACATATTTCATGTACAATGTCATATACCTATCTTCAACTGTTTCAGAAATATTGACAATTGAAAATTGACTTTTTTGCATCTTGGACAGACTGTAAAACCTCAACGGTTAATTTTACAGCAAAACCGATCATACCTTATCTCAGTTTTTTATAAACTATCATTTGACACCAACTTTGAATTTAATCCATGATTCAAAATTTCGCTCAAATTATTAATCTACAGTTAAATCCAAAGTTGCTGTTAACTGATAGCTTATGAAAATCTAGGATAGGAATGTGAAATCGGTTTTGCTGTAAAATCAACCGTTCAGGTTTTACAGTCTGTCAAAGATGCAAAAAAGTCAATTTTCAACTGTCAATATTTCCGAAACAGTTAAAGATAGGTATATGATATTGCACATGAAATATGTCTAGAATTTTCCACAGAATCTAGAAATGACATAATATACAGGGGGTACCATTAAAAAAACTAAAAATGATAACGGTACAGCTGTTTTCGGAACACCCTGTATAAAAAAATCCCAAGCAAAAAAACAAAATTGACGTGTTCGAGCGTTTTTTCGAAAAGTTTCCCATTTATTTATTATCGAATTTATTCCATTTGGCTGATACACACTGTATAAACGAGCCAAAGGTTTGGCTATTTTGTGTTACTAGAAAATATGGTTTTCATATTAATTTTCAAAGAAAAACACCAAGTCTTCCTCCACAAATCACAATTTATCTCCGGTTATTAAACAAACATAATAGGCCCGCAACTAACGTGAAACGTTTTCGCTTAATAGCGTGACTGGTTATCTTTTTGCTACTGCGCATGTGCACAATAATCGATAACGTGAATTGTACGTTAAATAAGTGGCTTAAAATCTCCCTATTATTTTGGGCTACTGTAGTGATATTTCCTCGCTGCCTATATTTTGTACAGAGAAACTTTACAATAGATTTTCTATGAAATTAATAGAGAAAGCGACGTAAAAATGGTCGTATTACATTTTTGTCTATGATTTAATATCTTAGCAGGCACTAATTTTGACTGCTCAACACTGAGGACCTGATTCAACAGTTGCAATTTCAGAATTTTGAGTCCTCTTCCAATTACGGGCAAATTCTCTCTTTTTGACTTTATTTTTTCAGACATAACTAGAGGGTTATTTTCTTGCTTTGAGGTGTCACTGATGGCTAAAAGCTCTTATAAGTATTTTAACACCTTGATGAAGAGTAGGAGAAAGTGGTCGGTGCCAAAAATGACCCTAATATTGTTGAACAAATTAGTGCTCGTTTGCCTTCTAAAGTAGAGCGATTGGACAGCATTTAAAAAAAAAATTGAAATTTTTGATCTACAGGAGTTTGGAAATTGACGCCAATAGACGTCCTGCCACATTTGTAAGGAGAAAATGGCTGTGACGCTGACACATGTCTATGGTTGAACCAAATCCAAGTGGCAGTAAATGACAAACTGGTCATTTCCATCACAACTAAAGTCTGTTTTTTTTTTAAAGATAATTCCCCCAAGTCAAAAATTTAGTAACTATGTTGGCAACACCAGCCTTTTCTACATAAAAAAATTGAAAGCATTGACAATTTTACATTGTATTGCCAACATAATGTCAGTTTGACTTTTATCTTTAAAAAAAAACAGATTTTATTCTATGATTACAACCTATCAAATATCCTCCGTGTATACCCACTAGTCCAGGTAGGGCGTTTCAACCAATAAAAAGGCTGGTGTTTGTTCACAATTTAGGTTATTTAATGTCATTTACTGCTGCTTGGATTTGGAATGGTGTAGTTATAGTATATTATGATATAAGTGTATAAGAGGGGATTTGAAGCACGCGCGACATATTGCAAAACATGACGAGCAGCCGAGTGTCGCAAGGGCTTTAAATGCTCTTATCCATGCATATATTTATTTATTTATTTATTTATTCGCTAACAATCTCAAAAATAATACTGATAATGATAACAATAATTGCGGCGCGCTATCGTAACTAAGTTACTGTGTGTGCGCCCTATAATAATTGTATAATTATATTTCATAAGTGTTGCCATGTATAACAATTTGATGAATGTACCAATGCAATATGATTAGTTGAACTAATCAAGATAAAAATGTAATTTTGAAGTTAGATTCAACAATCCATTTCGTTATTTCTTTTTTAACTTTGTAGTATGGTTTTACCCTAAACTCACATGGTAAGCTATTAAATACCTTAGGACCTACACTATAGATATGATTCTGGCATGTGCAGTGTTTGGGGCCCTGCAGTAGGATATTGTTCTGAGCCACATTCCTTGTATTAACACCATGATTAATGCTCTCTCTATAATACGGATTTTTTAACATAAATCGGACAATTGCTCTAATGTAAATTTGATAATAATAATAATAATAATAATAATCTTTATTCAGGTTTAAATATTTTTTACAATACATTTTTTTTTTCTTTCACAATGCATGTATTTTGTATTTAAAAATTATTTTGTTGGCACCTAGAGGTTTAATACCTCTGTATGCACCAAGTAAATTCTTAACTATTTATAATATAGTAATAAACACAACCTGTTCTCACAATAAAGGTTTATCTTAGAGGACATTATATTTTGTATGGGTTTGTTAAAGTACAATATTATTTGTTTATGGCAACTTAATCCTATTTTTTTTTTATCCTATGACATAAGTTTAGAAAATGATTCATAATTATCTACAATAAATACTTTGCTCTTCTCACTAAACATTTTTATCCCACCTATTTCTTTGATTTTCTTTGGTATCATATTATAAAATTTTGGCGCTAAGTAATTAGCAAATTTTAAATTTATTGTTTTTCTATTTTGAAGTATTATTAGGTGTCTATTAACATTAGCTCTGGTTTGATGATGATGGTGTACGAATTTTTTTAGGGTTTCTTTTCTATGTATAATATATGTACAAATGGAGTGTATGTATAAGCAGTTTATGTTGCAAATGTTGTTGTCATATAGTGATTTAGTTGCGTAGCGCCTTTCTTTTCTGAACATTATTTTTAAGATGGAATTTTGTATTACATTTAGAGGTTGCAAGTTACTTTTATATGTTCCCCCCCACACAATAAGGCCATATCGCAACAATGATTCTACCAGAGATTTGTACACCAATATGATCATTCTAGTACTGAGAAATTCTCTTAGAATATAAAATTTATGAATCAAGAAGCGACATTTCTTTGTTAGGTAAGATATATGGTCTACCCATTTTAAATGCTGATCAACAACTATACCTACATATTTAGCTTTCTTCACTGCTGATATATGACTGTTCTTCTCCTTGCTTGTCTGAATTTCAATAAAATTAGGTCTATTTGCGCCTGTCACAGAAAAGGCTATGTAATTAGTTTTGGATAAATTGAGCGACAATTTGAATGAGTCAAGCCACTTTTTGACGATGCCAAAACCCCTCGACACTCTCTCTTTTGTCTCCTCCCATGTCTTACCAGTAAAGATAATTTATTTATTTATTTATTTTCACTTCCAACGGGCAGCGGCCCAATTTTACAAATATTGCCACAATAATAATATTAATACTAATAACAAACCGCATATAAATAAAAAATTTAAAAAGAGTACAATAAATTATTTCTAAATTAAAAAATTGAAAGGACAACAAAAAACAGCCAAAAACAGATCACAGGGTAAATCACTAGATTACAAAACAATATCACAGTGATAGCTTCATTTGGTGCAAAGACGCAGCAAATATGTCCACCTGTATCTCATTGGCATAAGACATAGCCCGATTAATGGTTGTGTGTTGGCCATAAGAGGTACGATGTCTCTCCCATGAAAAACAGCGCACAGCTCTAAAATTCCTCACTGGGACATTCAAGTTTACAGCCGAGAGCAACTCAGGGCAATTCAGATAACCTCTGAGCAACTTAAAAATCAATAACTGATCAAATTTTCTACGCCTATGCTCCAATGTTTCCAATGACAAATTCTGCAAAAGCTGACCATGAT